AAGTTTAAGCTATTTATGATCCAGCCTATATTTTCAAGAAGCATTTCGTTCAACCTCTGTTTTGGTATCAGTAAGAAACCTATTAGCCACTTATGATAAGTTAAAACGTGCTGTTGCAGTAACCACATGCTTTGGAATAGGCGTGAATGGGTTCTAAGCACTTGGCGTTTGTTCATTAAAACAAAACAGAAAAGAAGGATTGTTTCTGCCTTGTACAAAACAGTTTTCAGATTGAAAATTTTGTATACATAGCGAAAACGAGAACAACAGCAGTAGCCAAGATGTATTTCGAAGGTGTAGGTCCCAGAAGACCAGAAAATGTTGCGCGTTCTCGTTTACAGGTAGCGTTATTTTGCGATTTTTACTCTGAGCACAAAAGGTTCTCGCCGGGGTTAGGGACTGCAATGCAAGTAAGACTTTTCTTGAAGATTGAGTCCCCCAAAAAATGGATCGTTGTGGTGCTTGTAGCTGTAAGAGGGGCTTTCATTTTTCCAGTAGACCGGATGTCACAGAGTCCTTGTAAATATGTAGCGCTTCTAACTTCACAGTCGCTACTGGCCGCACACGGGTATCCCTGATGAGCGGATTTGGGCTAGCGGTGAAAAACAGAAATGCATGTAAAGTAGCTCTCATGCATCCTGAAGAAAAGCAGTCCTATTCGAAAGCAAGAACCGAGAAAGACGTATACAGTTTGCATTTATTGGATATGGCATTACATCTCAAAGTGTTGTTGGTCAGTTTGCTGCGGGTGTCTTAGTCTACAAAATATCCTCATGGTTGCGATGATCGAAAAAAACTTACCAGCAGTGATTATACATGACCTAAGTGGGCTACCTTATGAAATATTATCCTAAATTCTGAAATATGCTTTCGATTAGGGAGCACTACTTATGCGAGGTTTTAATATGGATTATCGTGAAGCATGATCCCACAATACTACTGTCATGCCCAAAATGCCGGCTTTTGAATGAATTCCTTTTTTGGCCGATTGCATATACCACACTCGCTAAAAAATAATTACTTACGAAGTATGAATTTTCCAATGGATTTTTAATACCGTTATAAATTTGAATAACTTATGCCATTAAAAAATCTCATAGAGGGCTCATAAAATGTATAATTTATGTGGACCGTGTGGTACACTTTGCTAGCCATATTAATAAACGTATTAACACAAAGCTGTATAAAAAGAAAGTTTACGGTCTTAAAAGTGCTCATAGTAAGGAAAATTTTTAAAACCGAAAAATACCATTGAAGAAAAATCATTCTTTACCAGATAAATACAAACAGGAAAAGTTTTGTGTATGCTTTCGATTAAATATCAAGGGGCATCGAAAATCAACTGTGAACCCCATACCACGTCAATGGTCACTTTTTACCGAATGAAGCCTATGTAAATGGTCAAAAATAACTCCATTCAAAAGTCGGCATGCTGCCATGACAGATGTTTTGTGGCATTGTATTGCACGGTAATCAATGTTACAAAAATATGCAGGTAATCCTTTCTACTCGAGAACACAGTTCAGAATTCCGGTTAAAATATCACTAGATAGCCTACCTACTGTAAGTAGTATTTAAGAATTGAACAGGTTGGCCAAGATGGTAAGATTGCCATGCTAGCGAAGCTCATAATCCCTGCCTTTACAGGGCTGTTCACGAGATCTGGAGAAAGCTCTTTTGGGTGAATCCATCAACAGCGGTTTACTAATCGTTCAAAGTGTTCACGGGACGAAAAGTAATTGTACTCACTATCCAAAATATAGAAAATGGATTTGTAAAGTGAGGTGCTTTACTTATTTTACAGCTTGGAGGGACTGACACTTCATTTGGATATACGCATACCCAACTAAATATTTAGCGCAATCCTTACACCCGATAGCAGATAACCCATGTCATTTGTATGGAAATAATATTTTTTTCTGGTCGATAAGTTGAACGCTGGCTCTCTGAGTAGAATAAATCTAGTCATTTATCCAGTTTCAATAAAAAATGTTCAATTAAATTTACTCGATATTGTCGAACCAATGGAAAACGATAACCTTCTTTCAGCCTTTGCCGTAAAGAATCGCGAATTTTATTCGTTTGCATTTAAGAGAAGCTCTACCATGAGCTCCAGGACACAATGGGACGAGAATTTTCCGTAAACAGGTCGATGAACCCCCTAATATCATCAAATTCTCGGTCAAAACTGATATAAACAGCGAGTCCGTGGTGCAATAGTAGAATGTTGCATTCAATAACCAGGGAACGCGGACGCAAACCTCGGAGGTCACCATCCCTGGGATTGGACATGACTGGCTGATGACGGCTAGTAAGCCAGAAATTGCTATTCCAGTCTCCCTTGTCTTTAACGGTCCCACTTCAGAGGAGGTAGTATTCAAAATTGCAAAACTTCAAATATGAGGCCTTTTGGAACATTTGATAAGTTTACCTGCAGACTGATTCCGCGGGTTGCTTTAATCGACATAAAAAATTCTGTGAGTATTAAAATAGAGAACTCGAGCACAAGTTAGACCAATAGAACATTGTTTTCGCAGATAGTAAGTTGGACGCTTTTGTCAGTATGCATTTTCACAGATTGGGGACAGTCTATTGTTAACGTATACCTAAATACCAAGGGACATCGCAGTCACTGAATATCTTCACTTATTAACACTCAAAAATCATAAAAGTAGAGGGCATACAACTCAGGAGAATCTAATTTTGCGAAAAGCTACTGTAATGCAAGAATGCGTGTGATTAATGGTATTCCAATGCGATGTTAACTTTTCCCATTAATAGTGGATAAGAAGTGAGCCTGCCCTCATTCCAATTGGCAGTGCTTAAGATTTTGGGTGTTGGACCTGGTTTTACTGAGGCACAAAAATAAAAATAAATTATCTAAGAATTTTAAAGAGAACAACATGTCCAACAGTGTAGTCGCTCAGTAGCTTCTTTGGCTACAAAAAGTTTGGGTATGGATGACAGGACACGAGAACAAGAACCGTTACCAATACAAGTGTCTTCTCACCATATTCCGGGGAAAAGGGTTAGTTTTATAGTAGAGTTTTAGTTTAGGGTCAATGCTAGCCTTCAGGTAAGTTAGGATTCAGCTTTGGTTTAAAGTTAGCGTTAGTGTTAACTATGGTTTTGGGATTTAGGGTAGGGTTATGTATAGGACCATGGTTTAAGTTTTATGGTACAACCAGTACCCCCTAAACGGATCGCGTGATAAATGCGCTGGAACAACACATGGCAGGTTAGAGGATAGCAGGCGTTATTCGGGTTGCGTGCCAATAACAAATGTCGAACATGGGAGAGTGTGTTGGCATACATAGAGGCGGCTTCGGTCGCGCCAGCCACCTGCGCCCGATCCCGCCTCCTGCCCTAACACCGAGCATTGGTGGATGAGGGAAGAAAGAGGGAGAGAGAGCGCGGTAGATGCCGCGCAAGTCTGCCATCACTTAAAACCAATCATCATGCTTGGCTTCAGTTTCCTGAAATCAGCGGTGAACATCGAAACCGACGGTCAAAATGTCGTTAGAGTTGGGACGCGGAAATAGTTCCTTTTCGTGAAATTATGCCCACAGCTACTCTCACTACCCTGCAGCGTGTTCATATTGCCGTGTCCTGTTTAGGGAGCCAGATAATAAATCCTTTAGTCGGTCAGACTTGGTTATGTGTCGTTCCGGTAGAACAGGGGAATTGGAATACTCTCTATACTACAGGTGGCACTGCACTAAATCCCAGGAAGGCAACCTGTTTGCGTGTCCTAACCTTAATCAAGACCCTAACCCTGGCTTTGCCCTAGCCGTATCCTTAAGATGAATCCTAACCTTAACCCTAATCTTGATTTATTTTGAATTTAATCCACAGCCACCTGTATTACGGCGGCGGGGGGGTCAACAAAACGATCTCTGCCAGTTAGTCTATAATTTTGCCAGCTTGGGGAGCGCGAATTCTGTGGACTCCGAAAAATAAACTTGAAAAAGCTCACTGGGATACTCACTTGACGTTATTTCTTCCATTGACCACAAACAGCGAATTCGGCTTTGCTAGAATTTCGTCATTTACAGACAGACCGTCCAGGTACTGAGTGAGCAGGAATTTGAGATTTTCATTCTCATTGGTTAGAACATCACGCTCCTTGAGTAGGGCCAGTCTGTCCAACTGAACTTTGTTGAAACGACGCCAGAAGAGTTCCAGCGGCGCATACTGCTTCAGAAGCTGCAAGCACCACAAATAAATAGACATTCATTCAGCAGGAAAAACAGCGGCGCATTAGGATTACTGAATCCTTCACTGTTCATAATAAGTTTTCATATCGGTGTTTAAAGTGCTTTTACACTTCCGTTTGACTAATAAACATTCCGAATAACTATGATGTTGGTAGTAATCATTCTAGACTAGGAGTTGGAAGGCGAAAATATTTCCAGACGGGCACAAGAAAAAACTGGATTCGAATTCAGAAGTCAAGAGTACCACGATTGTGCCTTGCCCAGATGGCAATTGACGCAGGAACTGACCTTTTACATCTCCGGTAGCCGATAAAATTCCTGAAACGCTGACTACAATTTAAAATCATGGTTTCCAGGAAGAATAAATACCTACTTAACGGCATAATGCTAATACGTACATGACATACCCTGAAAATATATCGGCACGCTAAGCTGAAGATCCTTCCGGTCAGGTGAAGGATCAGTTTCGATAAAAAGGTCTGACATGCGGTTTTCCTTTTTATTCTAGAGGTTTGTAAATATTCAAACGCCGTTCGCAGTAAAGGTCAGAAAAACGTGACTTATTGTGTTCATTTTGCAAGAAATTGTATTATTCTTCAAGTGCTTTTTTCAAAGAAAGGGGAGCTTTCGATTTTAGAAAAAATCCGAAATTTTATAATTTTAAAAAGGGTAAAATAATTCTGCAGGTAGCATCTACTTTTGCTGTTTTAGAAATGTATAAGGTAGATCATATCTAAACGAAAGTTCCAAAAGTGGGAATTGGCCTATGGTCAGTGGCATAAATAGATTTGTGACTTTCCTCGAATAGGTTGCTTTTAAAATAGCAGGGTTTTTTGGATTCCCTCAAAACCGAAAGAAAGTTTTTTACTTTGAGAACAGTATAAAGGATAGTAAAACAAGACTTTAGCGAAGATTTTAGAGTAAATGTTTTTTGTATGGTTCACGGGCATCAGGAAGCAGTGAGACGTTGTGTGTATAATTCAAGTTACAGATTCATATAAGGTGAAATGTACGCAAATTACTAAACACTTTCAGCTTTAAGAATTTCCTGAAGCGTTTGATTACAGTGCATGACGCATTCTCTTATATTGTTAATTTTCATGGGCTTCATCATAAAATTAATTAACCGGTCAATTTAACGCGTTTGAGAGTTTTGACGAAATAATTTTGGACATGAATCTGCATCTCTAATATGTTCATATCAATTTTCAGCTCAGGGATCTCAGTGATTACGCGATATATTTACATGTTGCCCCTTGTCGGACATACCGATTTAACATTCTTATCGTTAGAATCCTGGATTTCATTCGCCAGCTTCTCTTCCTCTTCTTGGCTTAGACAAGACGTGTAGAATGGTAGCACCTTTTCCTCTTCTGTTTCCAGCTTTCGACAGTCCTCACCAATTTGAATGATCTGCTCCGCTCGTCTGTTAAGCTCATCCATCTGTAGTAAAAGAGGTAACAATTTACAAATATATTAATGCGATTAAGAAAACGAACTTTGTATAGTTATGAGATAAAAGGACATTTGTATTGACTTGTAAGCGTGCTCAAGTTATTACAAAATTGCAAATAAATTATTAAATTATCGTTCTCTAAAAATGTGCAATGATCCTCTGTCGTGCCATTCGTGTCAATCTAAAAAGTCTTCGTGAATGTCTGTGTGTTGTGGGACAAACATAGTAATTGATGCCTCTGAATGGATCTTAGCCTGTGGACTATCGTAGCAGGACAATTTGAGATATTCAAATGATAATAAAGGGTGATTCATTTGCCGAAAGTCACATTCAGGCCAGGCCTTCATAATTAAATTTAACTTTATCTACTCATTACAACTGCTAATCGCATTTTATACTCGTTCTTTCTCCTTGTATTTAAATGTAGCCCAGAGGGCATGACGTTTAACGACTTGCCATATGCATACAGGGTGTGCCAAAAAATGTATACATATTTTACATAATTGTAAAATTGGTGTTTATCATAATTTTATTATTAAGAAAATGTAAAAATCTTTACAAGTATCATTTTATTGTTTTTTTTACTGAATGTTCTCAAACTGACGTCCGTTTTGATCATGACATTGCTAAAAACACGAAGCAATGGAATCGCACGCAACATGGAGCAATTCTCTTGGTATTCCGGTGCATTCATGTTCAATGGTTTCTCTCAATTCAGCCACCTTTGCAATAATTAAAATGCAGTCAAAATACGATAAATGATGCTTGTTCATATTTTTTACATTTTTGAAATAATAAAATTATAATAAACACCAAGTTTACAATTACTTAAAATGTGTATACACTTTTTGGGACACCCTGTTTGTTCATCCGCTGGGAAAAGGATGACTCAAGGGTAGCCATTTCAGCGGAGCAATTTTAAATATAATGTAATGTCTTTTTATATATCCATGTGTATAACTTGAGTTTAAAGGCTTATAAAACTGTAAGCAAAGTGAAAATCAAACCTTCTTTCGGACATCGGATGCAATGATGGTCATCTTCGTCAGTTTAACATGCTGTTTCTCGTGCAGCTGGTTTATTTGGGCCTTCAGGCCCATAAAGTGAATGCCAAGTTTCTCCCGTTCTTCTCGTAGGAGAGTATTCTTTTCCTCGAATTCTTCGAGGATACGATTTCTCTTAGCCTTGGCGGCTGCTATTTTGGCATTTATTTCACGCAGTCTTATCATTTGGCGCTCAATTTCAATCACAGACTGTTCATCGCGAGCCTTCAGGGTCTCAAACAGCGCTCGACGCTCCTCAGTGGCGCGATTGTAATTGGTTTGGCACTGAGTGTACTCCGACCATAGAATGTTGACTTTTTTTTCCAGAACGATTCGCAGACCATGCTTATCTTCAAGGCTCTGAAATTGTAAATGAAATTATTTGTGTGATTTATTTTTTGGTCGTTGCCTGGTGAGAGCAAGAGGGTGGAATAAAATAAAATATTTAAACTAGACATCATTTATGCTATGGCTGACAAGGAGAAGGAAGACGCGAATGGCCACTTCTGGCCAATTGGCCGTCATCAGCCAGCTCTTCTAATAAGCCACAGCTAATAGACCAGAAATAATTGTCGGTGAAGACTAAGGAGGCTGGAATGACCATTTATGGCTTATTAGCCGTCGTTAGGCATTCCAGTCGCCCTTTTCTTTGCCGGAAAACACTATCTGCCCAGACTACTAGCCGCTGCACGGCTGCTGTCAGGGCCCGAGAAATGAGACCACAGACAGAGCGGGGAAACTGAGTTCCGTTAGCGGTCGGTGAAGGTTCATCAATGGGTGTCAAACCAGAAATTGTCATACCAATCGCTCTAGTCTGTCGATAATGTCATCCCGCCTATAACCCTAGCTGCTATGGGGCTGCTTATAAGACGGCGGGTTGTCAGGGGTGGTGTTCCCTTTACTTACTGCTCCTCTTAGTCCTTTATGTCAAACTACAATCCGCTTCCATTGATTTCAGTTATTTCCCTCCTTATCTTATAATTGTACATATCTTACTTGTCGTTCCTAAGATTTCTGTCAGATCCACTCCGAGTGATCGAAAAGCTGATAAGTGGACAACAAGCAAAAACGCCGTTATCTCAGCATACGTACAATAGAAGTAACGCTCAATATGGATGTGGTGGTTAACTGTTTCGTTGGCAATCCCGAGGATGATAAAAATAGGCAGGGCTGCTGTCCGAGCCCGAGAAATGAGACTTAAGGCAAAGCGGGGAAACTTAGTTCCGTTAGCGATCGATGAACGTTCATTGACGAAGAGAACTATTCACATAAAATCTTAGAGGGAAAGAACGAACTTATGCAAGTCTATTTAATTTTCAATTTCGATACCGAGCCTACACTCGAGTTCTAGTCGCACAGTCATGCAAAGCATTCACTCTCAACCTGTCCCAACTGGGCAGAGAGGCAATGTGGATGTAGTCTTTGTCAGGTCTTCTTGTCTTGAGGAGAAACAGTGCGATACCGACCAAATCAATAGGGAAAAAGTTGTGAACTAGGTCGAACTTTCCTCTCGATATCTGTCTAATTTGCAGCGCTGTATATTCTTCCTACTTCGCAAGAAATTTATCAGTGCGTTACCAGCCAAAACGAGACACACTATTACGGGGACTGGCAGGGGCCCACGCTTGTTAGGAAGCTGCTAACTCACACCTTCTGATTGGCTACGGACTGCGCAGAAGTCAATACTGCGGATAACTACTGAACTAAAAAACTGACCCTAACTAACCTAGCGAAACACAGGTAAATTATTTGCAGCTAAATTGACTTAACAATAAAGCTGAAAATAAAATCAAATAACAAAAAATTAAGGCAAAAGTGGCTCATGTAGGCCCACCCCTATACCCCTAGTCCCAGAATTTTGTCCTGCAAAAACGGTGGTTATAGAGCTTTGGGGGGTGGGTGTGGGGAAATAGGATATACAGAGAAGGAATTTTTTGAAGTACGTGCAAAGTGAAAAAAATGTAGTCGAAGTTGCTTCACGCGGCCGCTGGAAGTACGTTATTCCGCATGTCAATACCACTAGCT